CTATTAAAATTTTTTATTTTTTTTTTGTTAACCCTTGAGCATCAATTTGAAAAAGTTACACAGAGGTCATAAAAATATATATATTTATATTTTTTTCCACTTTCACTGTCATTGATCTTTTTACTAACATTAGTCCTGATCATAATTACCAAAAATTCATTCATTTTCAGGATTTTAACCATTTAAATACCATTTTGTTTGTTTTACGTAATACCATTTTTTTATGGGAGAAAACACACACACACAAAAATCTATTAACTTCCATATATTAAATGCTAAGATTTTTCCCCCAAGACACATTACATGCTAATCAATCATTTTGATGCATTATTATTTTAGTGCAATGTAAGAATTAAATAAACAAATAAACAAACAAACTACCATTCACACAAACCTCTGATATCCACATGAATACATCAACACAATTATAATTACAACATTTCAATTAAATTGGCCTCTTTTTTTAGCAGAAGCAGAAAACAGAAAAAAAAAACTTGCTCCATAGGCCAAACCTCAGAAAATTGTGCTATCAGGTGGAAAAAAGTAAGAATTTAAAAAAATAGTAAAAATAATTAACAAAGAATGCATGATTTTATGATTAAATGGCACTGGGATTAAATGTTGCTGGTGTAATGGGGACATTTTTATCCTTATTGTCCCGAGTGTAACTATTAATAAGGTTTTAATCATTTTAGTAGTAGTAGTAGCAGCCTGTTACGTACATTCTACTCAACAATAGTAATATATTTCTGCCAATGCCCTCAAGTTAAACTGAACTTTTATTTTGACGGGTTGCTGTGAATACCTTCACATTTCTGTGTGTATATGATGTGAGGATAGTTTTACTCAAAAGAAACAGTCAGAATGCTCATGAAGTGACTCTCAGAGCAGTTCTGGGGATGTTGTTCATGTATTTATGTCCTCATTTAGTGAGACGTCAGACACTAAAATCACGGCAAGCGTCACGCGCGCTTCAGTACGAGTAGTAAACAAAACCGCGCGTCTGCGCCATTCATTAACACAGAGACACGCAGAATTCATATTTAAATATGAATCGTTTTGCGGCTTAATATTTACAAATACTAGTGGGAGTGTGCTCACTTTTGTGTGTGTGTGTGTGTGCATCGGGCGGAACTCCGCTGCGCTGTGTGTGATACAGAGAGCGCAACCATAACGTAGAGACCGAAATGACATGCCATCATGTAAATAAGATTAAAAAAAACATAAGGCTATTTAGTTTGCTTAATAAAAGAACAAGGTATAGACCTGTTCTATCGGAAAGGTAACTTTAAATGACTTATGTTGTGATCTGGCGCCATAGAGAAAATATAATTAAATAAAATTAACTTGACCTTCAAGGGGGCCGCTCCCCTAATATAATGGCAGGGGAAACACTGCTTCATATGATTGACTTACATATAAAATGACCTGAAGTTTCCTGCTCAAAACCATTTAAAACAGTAAAATCAATTGTTTTCTTCTAAGAAGCAAACCTATTTACTTTGGAAAGGTAAATGAAGTCTTTTTACATTAATTCCACGAATGCTAAGGACCAGTTATTTACATAACTACTTACAGTCATCATAACGTGCTTGTGCTTACCTTCTATTGCTGCTGCGGGATTGAGACCTGTGGGACCTGTGGCTCCGCCCCCGTCTGTGCTCCGGCTCCGCCTCCTGTGACTGGACCCTCTGGAGGAGCTGCTGTTGGAGCGGTGTCTGTGCCGTTTAGTGGCAGTGGCTCAGGCAGCGGGCCGTCTCTCTGCATCACTGTGTCAGCAAGCGAGGAGAAAGTTCATGTTTGTGCTGTTTTACAGAGCATGAGGAATGAATTGCATCTGCAAAAAAAGACTGCTCTTAAAGACTGTTCTGGCAGCATATGGGTCAATGACATGACACTCGTTTTGTCTGTCTATTCATTCATAAATGTGTGTGCGTGTGTGTGTGTGTGTGTGTGTGTGTGTGTGTGAGTGTG